ATTAAGGTTTTTGAGGAAAACATTCCAGGATTTTTCTCCATATAATGGACTTCAATGGGACCCAACGAGTTGAACGTTCAAATTGCAGCTTCAAAGAGCTCTACATGATCACAGTCGAGGAATAAGGGTCTTATCTGGTGAAACGATCTGTAATTTTCTAAAAACAATAAAAATGTATATACTTTTTAACCATAAATGCTCGTCTTTCACTAGCTCAATCTCACGCATTATGCAATCATGTTGGAAAGGTCACGCGCGGTTAGCTCTTCATCTGTGTACTTAAAGGTAGGGTAGGGTGAAAAACTCAATATCATTTTGTCCTCCAACTTCAAAATCTTCCGACATCGTTGTTTTACTTTCCGACATTGAAAGTTTGACTTTCTTTGCACGTTTGCTTTGTAAAAGCTGGGGAGGTACTTCCACCTACGTCACTCGCATCGCAGAGCTACTGCAAGACAGGCATTTGTGGTTATATATACACACAATTTTTTTTTTTTTAAGAAATTGACCGATCGTTACGCTAGATAAGACCACTATTCCTCGGCTGGGATCGTGTAGAGCCCTTTGAAGCTGCATTGAAACTGCAATTTGGACCTTCAGCCCGTTGGGTCCCATTGAAGTCCATTATATGGAGAAAAATCCTGGAATGTTTTCCTCAAAAACCTAATTTCTTTTCGACAGAAGAAAGAAAGACATGAACTTCTTGGCTGACATGGGGGTAAATTAGCAGGAAATTGTTATTCTGGAAGTGAACTAATCCTTTAAATAAAGTTAAAGTTAATCATATTTGAGTAAGATCTACTGATCTGTTATTTGCTGGAGTGCTGATCTGAATTGATATGTGTGTGCATGTTTCAGATACCACGTAATGAGTTTGGGCACGTGTACATGTTTAAGTCATGCATGTTAACTTACCAGTAGGATGTGTTCACCTGCATTTGCCAAATCTGTATAGAGTGGCTCGAAAACTGAACATAGACTGTGCTGCAGCAGTGACGGGTTTTGATTATCATTGTGGATTTGCACATGCAGGGTAAGAAGTGTCTCTATGTGTTTGTAATAACATGCTCTAACCAGGTGGAATACGATGAAAGCTATCTCCTTCCATGTACACATTTTGTCCTATCCAGCCAGGACTGTCACTTTCCATAGCAGTTTCACACTCTGTAAGAAATGGGCAGTGCTTGTTCCATTCATTTCATACATGGTCAAAAGAGTAAGAGTATAATGTACATAAATAGTGTGCTTATATGGAACATTGTACATATAAATGTATGAATGTGTTTTCTGTCAAATCTGTAATTTGATTGCCTCAATATATTTCAGTAACGATGGCTATATTGTCTGTGAAGAACACCAAGAAATCCCGAAAGCAGCCTGGGAAAATGAGCAAGATATCCAGCAGAAGAAACAACAAGAGGTGTGTTGATTTCTTGTATCTGTCGAAGTTCTTTCTCTGTAAATAATGTTGTCGTTCACTACAGCATCACCATCTAAAACACTCTAGTGTTACAAAAATTTCAGCTTTACCTAACATTGAAGAAATATTTTAGCTAAGAAACGGTACTTTTGATTTTACAGTGAACAATTTGTGTTTTGTAAATATTCTGGTGATCACTTTTTGAATCTTTTAACAGAAACGTGAGAAGCGTGTGGTGGCTAACTGGACCAGGGCCGTTTCTAGCCAATTTGACGCCCTAGGCGAAATCCCTATTGC